TCTGTTTACAGTTTTGTTTCCAAAGAAAATGTTTTATTGATTGGAACTTTTAAATGCGAATCAAAAATCAAGCGATTTTCTGTAAAGAATTGAAGGAGTGTTTGTCATTTTAAGAAATGGCTCGCATATTTATACTCATTTTCACCGTTTCATATTATATATATCACAGCTAAAGCCATTGAATGTCAAAATATCGACTTCTATTTTAATTTAATGTTCGTAACAAATACGAAAGTATTTGTTGCCTTTTTCCGCATACAATTTTCATATTTTCTCCCCCATGTAAATTGTATTGTAATGGTTATTAATCTATTATTTGTTTCTTTGGACCGGTTGTAATAAAAAAAAATATACAATGTATCGTACCAACAGACAAACACGTTTTGGCCTTAAGAAGCAAGCGTTCGAGTATATAATTGTTCAAAAGTGAGTGTTCCTATCAGAATCGTTGTGTAATTGAATTTTTACATTCGTGAATTGGAACACGGAGGAATGGCGGAATATTTAAAACGCACCCTACAGTTTCCCGGACGCAATCCGCGAACAAAAACTGAATGCATTCCGGCGCCGGGGTAATCCTTGCACCGGCAACAGAAGCACTCTGGGCTATGTGGGCACTTATAAATATTAAACGAAGCGGACCGGGGACCCGTAGCAAAAACGTTTATCTGGTCCCCGTGGAAAAACCGCCAGAATTAGCAACAGTGGGGGGGGGGGGGGGTGGATTAAGGCGGACCGCACTTAATCCTTCACTAAGAAGGCTTTGCTTAAACGAGTTCTAACGAGCTAAAGATAAAACAATTACCGGGGACGTGATTAAGAGATACGGAGGACACTTGTTACGTCTTAAGATGACTCCGTCTTGCTCGTCTGACGGGCACTTTGCCGTGATTTTAGGTTAAGTCTTATTTACTCCGTTCCCCGATTTCCTGCGAGCCGCATTTCGTGCTCGATACTTAATGGCAGCAAAGGGACTCTATTTAGGCATTTTCGACGTTAAAATATTTCTTGTTCTAAGCGGAATCGTCGAGATTTTTTAAATAAAAACTTCTTTAACAACTTTTGTATTTTGCGTAATAGTTACAAAAATAATTTAAAGGAATCACGAGTAAAGTAACAGCCTATACATATATATCTCACTGCTGGGAGAAGCGCTCCTCTGTACAGAGGGAGCCTTGCCATAGTCCACCGCGTGACCCGACCGCGGATCGACCTCCGACTTCACATATTATATTCAAAATATTTTTTAATTTTTATTATCATAGGCAAGTTTCCGCGCGATATTTTCTTACCCCTTAATTCGTGATAAGTCAAAGTAAATAAGAGCCTATACATGTCCCACTGCTGGGCAAAGACCTTCTCTGTACAGAAGTGCCGACATCAGATTTTGAACGCTAGTCAAGTAAATAAAATTTAAAGCGAGGGACCGGAAACTGGGCTATCACATCACAGCTCTAGCTAACCTAACACTAATCAAACAGTGTTTGAAATGTAGAGACTAGATTTCTGTATGGTTATCGATACAAATATATTAATTTTATTCACAAGCATACTTTGTTTAAGACTGTTGCTTTCCATATTTTCTGGCATCGTTCAGACTTAATTGAAGGGCTTAATAGAATGACGTAAGAAACTTCATTTTCTCAGAATAAAGTAAAATGACATCATTAAATTTATTACGCGGGAAGCAGGCTAAGAACGCTTGGCTATATTTAATAAAATAAAAATTAATAATTCTTAATGCAAGAAATTCGTAGCATTTTATAGTGAATTTTAATACAATGCTAATGTTGATTCAAATTTTATGTCTCCCTTTCGCCGAAAAATTAGGGAGTCACAGATTATGCCCCGATTTGCATTTTTCAAATTTACGTTACGATACTACGCCCCGCGCCCCAGGCGAAATGGATATTAGAATTGTAAATTAATTACCCACTGATAACACACACACTCGTGAGCAAAACGCGTGCAGTTTCTCAGCGTTGAATCGATTCGGCCGCGATCCCACAAAACTAATTACGTATCGACGCCATCTCCCCCGCGCTTTCTTACGCGCTTTTCGCATTTCCATATAAGTTGAGCTATAAACGGGCCAATCTATTCACGTCTACACATCAGGGGTCCGCATTTGCATATAGAGCAGAAATTTATTAAATCTACAGCCAATATCCAGCTTTTAGACATTCGACTTTCACTTATTCGAGCGACGTCTCGGAAATTTCTCAGTATTGAAGGCGAACGCGATTGACGCGCGGCTCTGTTGTGTTCTTAGAAATATCTCGAAATTTTATCAGTTCAATTTCTTGCTTGAGTGTTTTGTTATCATCATCATAATCATCACTTCAGCCAGACCGAGATGTGCCATGAAGCATGATCTAGATGCTTCCATCGATTTCCCACACATGTGCATTAGTCGTCACTTCACCTTTTTATTTTAATGTGAGAAGGCGGCAAGCGAGCTAGCGGATTACATGATGTTAAGTGATAACCGCCGCCCATGAACATTAATTGCATTACCCGTAGATGCGTTGATAACCTTTACCTTTTAATAATGTGGACCCCGGCTACCTAACTCACGAGATGAAATCTAGAAATATAACACTTCTAGTTCACGCCGGTCGTCTATGAGGTCATCATACTTCCCCGGGCGGAACTGCCCATTCGTATAACAGCAAAGACTTTTGCGTGGTCTAGTGGGGTTCCTACACTACGTGGCCAATACGACGCTGACACTCGAAAACCTTTCTTACCCATCGGTTATCTATTCTTTTTACCTATGTTAAATGTTTTCCGGCCACTATTCATTAATTACTTAAACCAAGGATGAGCAACACGCGGCCCGCGGGCCGCTTGCGGCCCCTTAAACATGTTTATGCGGCCCGCCAAGCATTTCTAAAATTGATTTTATTTTATCGAACTTCTCCCATCAACATATTGTTATAAAATTAATTATAAAAAAATGGTGGTACATACTGAACCGAAATATTTTTTGTTCGTTTTTCTGTTCTTTTCTTGTTTGTTTTTACCTTGCATTAAAAGTATATGAAATCTTTACTTTTTTTTAATTTTATATTTTTTATTCTAATATTTATTATTAATAAAGTTTCGTAAATTATTATGTGCGGCCCGCCAAAAAATTTGAAATTTAAATTGGCTCATTGATTGAAAAGGTTGCTCACCCCTGACTTAAACAATTTGTCTCAATTTTAATATTGTTACGGTTTACCTTGATTTGATTACATCTATATCTTTCACACTAGTCAACCAGATGATGACGCAGAGATCTTTTACATTTCTTTGGCTCCATTCTGGCATCCTTTCGCGAACCAAGTACTCTCTTTAACACGGGAAAACGTTATCAATAAAATGTTCCCGCATAAAATGCACTTACAATACAATATAATGGAAAGGTCGTGGGCTGTTTCAGCTTCTTTATACTCCACAGCAGATGTTTTAGCTTATACATATTTGAAATTTAATGGTTAGTGATTAAAAAAAAATATTCATTTAATACAAAAATATTTGGTTATACACTTGGCGGTCTCGTTTTCAGCAGGCTTGCAAAAGATCGGCCATAATTTACTTCTCATTCAGAGTTTTTTGAAGACCATTTTATGGTTATTACACATTTTCTAAAATTCAATTTCAAAATACACCTTCTCGCCACGTTCTTCAAATGATATTTTATATATCAATTAAGCCGGATCCAAATTGGATTGTCAAAAGCGCAATTAACCCACGTCTAACTGCGTTTATTAATTGACAGATTATTCGTAACGGAATTTGCGATACCCGGCTTTGTTTTTAGACTAATCAGTCCTTTTCAGATCGCTCATAATGTATTTGACAAACGGTGACATTTCAAATTGTCTTTTCAGACGTAAATAATAGATTTATTTCATTACCAAATCCTTTTTATTAATATTTCTGATCACCTAAATACAGAATTGATTACTTATTGTTTGAAACATCCTTTATAATAAAAATATAACATTTTTGTACATTACCTAAACTAAATTATTTTCGAATAACAATGAATACTTTTCACTTTTTACTTTCGGAGAATTTATAAAATGATAAAACCGATAGTAAGTTTACAGTGTTTCTTTATGTTATGCGTATAATTATTAATAGCATAAATAAAAATATATAATTGCATCAAAAGCGCGATGTTGAGATCTTATTTGCCCACATCAACTACGGCTACCTACTCTTTAAAAGTTAGAAAAAGACTTGTTAGCCGCAAACACACAATCAAATGACAAAAACGAATGACGTCACTGCCACACTCACTTGTAACAAAAATCCTTTCATGCTGCTAGTTTTATTTTTAACCAGTACAAAAAGCGTCTCACCTGTGCTACATTCATTATGAAATATCGCGCACTTTCGGTGTCTGTGAACGCGGAGCATAAAGCTCGCAGCAATGGGTTGAGTGCTGTTGCATTTTAATTAATTCTCTTTTCTATCGCGATGCGGCGCTATCAGCTGCCTGCAGGCGTTGTGGACACAAATAGCTGTTGCGTCCCCGGCACGTAACGGTTTCGATACGGTCGCATTGTGAATTTTTCCTTTCTTGCCCACACGGGTCGGCTATTGATTCCGGCTCACGGAGGATCGTGTTCGCATCGAATTTCGTTATCCTTCCGATTCTTTGCGTCAAATATGTCCGACGCGTAAATCGGGATGGAGGGAACTTCATCTGCACGTGCCGTACATATTTTCTATACCCCATTCTTAATGAAAACCACATTTTTATCGACTTATTAAGAGTACAGCATGGCTCTACCACAGAAGGCGGATGACAAAATCAAAAGCTTTTTTGCTTTCATCTGGCGTGTCCCACCCTTTAGAAGGTTGACGACTCACCGACCGCTCTACGAATGTTGCCAATATCCTAAGCAGTGGTAATCACTTAACATGGGCTCAAATCTCATTTGTCGCCTTGCGTAAAAAAGGAGAGATTTCTGTATCCACTGAAATGACGCACTCTTTCGCAGGCCTTGGACGGGCAGAACATATACAATGGCTGCTGCACGCTACGCATCGACTACTCTAAGATGACCTGCCTCAACGTGAAATACAACAACGACAAGTCGCGGGACTACACTAACCCCACACTGCCATCTGGCGACGGCGACGCGCACCAACTGTTGACCAGTGAGTTGACGGCACAGCGGGCCCGGCTCGCAATGGCCCTCGCATACAGGATGAGTTAGTCCACAACTAATCCCCGAAGACTGGAAGCTTCCTACACAGTTCTAAGTTTCCATCACACCCCCTATTAGTTCGTAGTTTCCGTTTTATGATTTTCCTCCGACACCTCGTAGTGCTTCAGTTGATCCTTCCTTAGTTTCCACTAACGGAAACGCTAGCTGGTTCGGCGTATTCTTCTTTTGTGGTAAGGTAATGGATGAATTAGTTATGTTTGTTTCTTACTAATACAAGGTTCCGAAGTAACACAGTTCTGAGTTTCCGTTACACAACTTTCTTTAAAATCGTAGTTACGATATAATTATCATTTGATTAAATGAAAATGTGTATTGTATTTCTATAAAATGTCGTGTATATATTCCTATATCAATGACAACTATGTGGTCAGAATGACAGTAATCAAATGTACGTATATTAAGAGATGTACATAATGTAATAGAGAAAAATCTCGAAAAAATGGCTTCATAAGTAACAAATAAGGTATTGCTTGCTGCATTAAAGTATTAATTTTCTATTCAATATTTATTTCATGTATCGTTACTTATCAGCTGGTTATTATTAACTATTACACTAGCTAGTCACGTATTCTTAGTACACAATTTCATTTTACTACTGAATAATGTCATATGTTTTATATTTATCTTTATTACACACTTATAACCCACGCAAGTTGATATTAAAAACAAGAGCTGAACCCGTTAAGGTACGTAATAAAATAAATCTCCAACGTAAAATCACACAAGAGAACATTATTTCTGAACTATGTGTCTACGTTTGTAGCAACGCGTTGGATCTTTTCTCGTTTATTATTCATAATCAATTCTAAATGTTTCCACAGTGACTAATAACTTTTCATAAATCCTCACTGCACCGTAGAGGATTGTAATGTGTGAGGATTATTCCAGCAATGCCTATTTGTTGCTTATATTACGTAATGCCGCTTTAATATTTTACAAGTCGGGCGAGACGTAATCTACGTTGAGTAGCTGCGGATGTGTTTTTGTTTCATTAAATAATTTATCACGCTATATATCATCGCGTGCATATTTATGGCTGCAGAATGATTTCAACGTGCGAATTTTATAATAGGTGGTGGGGTTTTGCCTCCTCCGTTCTTGGGGTTGGGGTCGGGACTGGCGTCCCCATACGGCGTTGGAGTTAGTGGCGTGGGACTGCCGGCCTTCGGTGCCCTCACGTTGACTCCAGCGTCCCCAGCACTTCGGGCCCTGACCGCTCCGCCGTTGCCATTGGCAACGGTCCTGCTCGTTTCCAACCTCAACGAAGAGGTTTGTACCTTTATATACGTACACCCAACACATACGTAGATTTTTTATCGATCCGTTCGTCACGTCGATCGACTTTTGACATTCCAAGATCATGATATATCTAATTTGTTAGCACTTCAATTGGATATGAAGATCGACGCCACTCGAATAAATTTCGAATCACCTTAAACTTCCCGTCATAAAGATTTATTAAAGTAACGTTTGACAATGTATTAAATTAAACTTCACAACTTAGTAAAATCGGCTAGCTATTCGTTACTAGTCAAATAAATTTATTACGCTAACACAATAGCCGGTAACGTCCACTCGATATACGTTTAATTTGGGTTTTTATAATCAGACGACACAAGACTAATAGTTCTGAACTAATACAATACGTTACTGGCTGTTACACTTATATACTCTACTTAAAACTCCTTGATAAAATAAGTTGCTAATTTATTTATAGAATATGATGTTCAGATATCTTTTACGACTATTTATAATACTATCTCTTTTCTCTCTCCTATTGTTTTAGATGGTCACGCCTGACGCTCTCTTTACCCTTTTTGGTACGTGTGCACAAACATTCCGTATTTTATATTAAAACATTAATATTGCTCCTGAGCCCCTGTCGCCTGGAAGACAAATTGTCAGCTAACATTCTCGACTTCCATTCTGATAACCGCATCCGATTACTTTATGATCGAAGCTTTGCTTGTTAACACTATCATACTACACGCCTTATTAACTGTGTGACAATTTGTGTTTCAGACAGTTTATTTTTAGTTTAGTGAACAGTTTAGTTTTAGTTGATTGAATCTCCATCTGACGAGTGCTAAGTTTACACCAAACATTTACAGATAATTTTATTCCTATATTGAACCCCTTGTGACGTAATTGGTTTTTGTAAATGGTAGTTTAAGACAATTACCTTAAAGGGCTTTGATTATGTTTATATTTAGAGTGCGTTGCATATAGTTACAATGAGAAAACTTGGAGGTTTTGTGTAGATAATGTTAATCGGCACATTTACTAGGTAGAGAGACATTAGTTGTTTCCTAGATCTGCTTGTTGATACAGCCGGCGCAAACGAAGGTCTCATGCTCTTAACCCCTAAGGCATTAATCGGACGCTTTTACGTGACCAATTTAGAGCTTGGAATTGTTTTCTTCTTGTTCATTTCCAGTCTATCATATTTCACAACATTATGTATTTAGGAAAACTGTCTTTCCGCGAATAAATGAAATCATATGCTAATACGAGTTACTATAGTCTCAGTAGGTATCAATTTGGCGCACATTCACCCTCGGTCGTCCATTGCGGATATCAGTACTAACTGTTTATAGCAAATGTTTGTTCAAGGTCCATTATAAAACGTGTAATTGTTATTTATGCGCCTTTAACAGTGCACGGCCGAGAGTTGCCACCTCCCGCGATAGATTAGAATATGGGATAATTTCTTAGTTTATCATACATATTTTTATATTTAGGCGTTTACGGCGATGTGCAACGCGTCAAGATCCTGTACAACAAAAAGGATTCAGCCCTAATTCAAATGGCGGAGCCACATCAAGCTCACTTGGGTATGTTTTACTGTCGACCTGTTTATTTCGAAGTACATGCGGACATAATTTCCAACACCCATTGTTCAAGTTCATCAAAGTTAACCGTTTGGGAACAAAGATTCTCGACTGGAAGCCTAGTGCTGGCCATGGTGGTGTAGAACGACCCCCCACTAGATGTAATGACGTCCTTACATCTACATTAGCTAGATGGCCAAATTCCTATATGTAACATGAAAATTGTGTACATAGTTTAATGTCTTTAAGTTTGTCTGTGGCGCTTGTAATGTATGAGTTTCGGGTTTAAATCGTCGCCATTAGTTCGCTGCAGAATAATTATATATGTTGCGAAGCTTTCCCCCAAACAACGTCATGTAATGAAAAGGAAATGTGCGCTGATTTTATAACATGTCCAAAGAGGGCATATTTTATAACATACGATTGAATGTATAAAAGGAAGCATTTAAATGAAATAGTTACTCGTGTAATGTTTAATTTATAATTTTTTTTTATTTCAAATGTTGTCAAGCGAGTAGACGGTTCACCTGATATTAAGAGAATACCGCCGCCCATGGACATCTGTTACACCCGAGGGTTACAGATGCGTTGACAACCTTTTGAAAATTCGCCTCCGGCTACCTCACTCACCAGACGAAACGCGAAAGTATTTGTCATACTTCCACTTTACGCCGGTCTTCTGTGAGGTCGTGGTACTTACCCGGACGAGCCGGCCCATTCGTGCAACAGCCGAGGCTGCTGCGTGGTCCTACCACAGTCAACTAATCTATATTCGATCGAAAATTTATTTATCTGTATATTGTTTTCATAAAGTAATAAAGTAAACTGGGTGTTTATCATTTGTATTTCCAAGGGTTTTGCAAGACGAAATAATATATTTATTTCGTATTTCAATTTCATTTTCTGTCGGGAAAGTAGGAACATATGCGCGCCATATCGAACGTTACAACTATTACAACAGATTGAATTCGAAGATGATTATAAGTATAACGTGATAATAAGACGGCTAAACTCACATTAAACCGGTGTATGTACCGACATATATGTATGATTGTTAGTATAGGTACAAAAAATTATATATGAAGAGAGTATTAAAATATTTTTTTAATTTTCTAATTAAATAAGATTTACTTATTTCATTATACTCCTTATTCTGGAACACAATTGCTTTGTTCAATGCATCAATGTAGTGTGTTTAACGAACTATCTTTTTTACTGTCCAGCTATGACCCACATGGACAAACTGCGCGTGTTCGGCAAGGCCATGCGCGTGATGCTGAGCAAGCACCAGACCGTGCAACTGCCTAAGGAAGGCCAGCCCGACGCCGGACTAACCAGGTAAGAATTTTTTTTATAACACATTTTACACAACGTTCTCTAGTACCAACCTAAGCAACGCTTGTACCATGGGTACTAGATAACTGATAAACATACTGAAACATACTTTTCTTTTGTAAATAAATACATATTATCTAATACCTTTAAACGAGCAATTCTTGTATATATATATATATATATATATAAAATTCTCGTGTCACAATGTTAGTTACTTTACTCCTCCGAAACGGCTTTACTGATTTTTACCAAATTTTATATGCATATTCAGTAGGTCTGAGAATCGGCTAATATCTATTTTTCATACCCCTAAGTGATAAGGGTTGTTCCTTAACATTTATTTTCAATTTTCGGACCATTTTTTTTGTTTTTATTTTTTATGATACAGCATACAAAAATACATACAACCCTAAATTTTTACCCCTCTACGCAGACGTAGTCGCGGGCAGCAGCTAGTATACATATATATACAAGAATTGCTTTCCAAAGAATTTCCAAAATGCACGATTTACCCAAAAAAACGCTCCTCCAGGTACAACATATATATACACCCAGACACTAGAAAAACACTATGTTCATCACACAATATTTACGGATCGAACCCACAACCTCTGGCGCAGAAGGCAGGTACACTACCCACTACGCCACGCGGGTCGTCAATCAATACAGTTAACACACACTGTAACTTTTTTTATGTTTGAAGGTGGAAACGAGCTGGCGGTTCACCCGATTTTAGAAATAATAAATAAATAATTAAATATTTTAGGACACATTTTTACACAACATTCTCTAGTTCCAAACTAAGCAAAGCTTGTACTATGGGTACTAGAAGTTTTGGTAGGGTTCATGGTACTTACCCTGACGGACCTGCCCAATCGTGCAATAGTGAACATTATTGCGTGGTCCTACCACAGTCCACCACAGTCACATGGGAAATGAATTGCTAGCTCCAGGCTCTTTCAAGTGGATTATAATGCATTGTAAACACATGCTTATTATTTAGTTTATATTTGGCAAAGGAATGTTCCTTGTTGAAGGAATGGTACAAAAAATACCTTGTAATAAAGTGGGCTCCGGCTGTCTCACTCACCAGACGAAACGCAGAATTGCAACACTTTCACTTCACGCCGGTCTTCTGTGATATCGTGGCACTTACCCAGCCGGACCTAACAAATACGTCCAACAGAGAAGACTGTTGCCTGGCCGTGGGTTAAATTCTTGCGCCACATCTTATTAAGAATATAAAAATATGAACATAGTTAGCAACTTTTAACAAATATATTAAATTGTAAGACAAAGATTAAAAAAGGATTATAGAAGAAATAATTCCTACGAAGCAACAAACGATGGTCCCACTTAGCATAGTCGCTGTAATGTAATTTTAAAATTTCTTCGCGTCACACAACTAAGGCGCGCCGTTCTGCCGCTAAAACCGTTCGCCCGTCGATTACAGGGACTATTCCCAGAGCCCGCTGCACAGATTCAAGAAGCCGGGCAGCAAAAACTACCAGAACATATACCCGCCAAGCGCCACACTGCACCTGTCCAACATTCCGTAAGTTATCGTCCAATTCCGCACCAGATCACTCACCGTCCAAATAATGGACCGTCTGACGTCCACTTTGTTCGCAGAGCGACCATCTCCGAGGAAGATATCAAAGAGGCGTTCACCAAGCGCGGCTTCGCGATCAAGGCGTTCAAGTTTTTCCCGTAAGTACTACCTTGAGTGCCAATAAACCGTCCAATGATACCGCAGATATTTCCTCGGTGTGTGCGACAGTAACACGAAGTAACACGCGCCGCATTTATGGATGATAACATTTTGGCAGACACTAAGGAATGGCATAAAATTCTGTTCTTATTCGCTATAGAATTGAGAGTGCACGGACACTCGTTTAAATCTGTTACTTGTACTAGCTAATTGAATTTATTTTTAACGTAAATATCGTGAGAAAGTCTATATATCTGAGAAATAATACTAATAATTATTTTTTTCAAAGATTTTACCGAAGTTATCAACGATGAAAAGTAGTTACGCTTTTTGCTTTTCTATTTTGAAAAGTATTCAAGTGATCAACCTTAAGGCGCTGTATGCAGCAAAAATAGGTTTTTCAAAAGATTTTTTAGCAAAATCTACACATTTTATAGCAGCAAAAAAAAATATATGTTAATCTTGATCGTACATTCTAATGGAACATTGTTTCCAAAACATATTCTAGATATATTTTCTCGATAGAAAAAAATCATGAAACTACCTCTAAAAGAGAAATTCAAATCCAAATATGAACGTAATACATCAACAAATCTTCATCATTCATCATTTCAGCCTGTGTGAGTCCACTGCTGAACATAGGCCTCCCCCATAGACTGCCATGAAGTACGATCCTGAGCCACCTGCATCCATCGACTTCCCGCAACAAATCTTAATTAAATTAATATCAGTGGTGTAGAATATATTAATAAAAAGGACTTAATTTTTGATTGAAGTAAGATATTTGTAAATATTAATTAAATTCATTAAAATTAATTCGAACGCGATGGCCAAAACACCGCGCCACCGCGGCGTTGTTTCGCCTCTCTTCCAATTCCACACGTTGAACAGAGAGCGCTGAGGCGCCTTGCTAGATCGACCTATGCCGCTCATCGACCGCGCACCATTACGAAATATGTTTCGTATTTATTTATTATTAAGAGTTTTAATTTTATTAGACCTTCGAAAACAAAAAACTAAAAAATATATATTTACATATTTTGTAGTTATAAATTATTTGTATGTATTAACAGTTGTTAATAATTTATTTAAAGGGTAATTTGAATGTCTTATTTCGTGATTGATTGGTCTATCAGTCCATTCTATTGCAGTATATACATACAGTTCTAAGTAATTTGCCTTTATTAATTTATTTGACTTTACGATGTATTTTTAATCAATTCCTTATCCATTTGATTAAAAAAGTAATAATAAATAGGAAGATTTTTTTAAAATTGTTGATTGCTTTCTCATACTTTATGTTTGTTTGTTTATTATTATTCCTATTATAATATAAAAGTAAAATACAATCATGGTCTATAAAAGGAATTATAGGGATCAACTGTGTACATCTTCGAAAGCCTTCCATGATACTATCGATAGTATCCTACGGCCCATCACTACACACACACACTAGGTAAAGAATGACTTGTACTAGTGGCGCGTCGACGAAACTCGCGCACTGCGCGCCGCTAAGCGGCGTTACCCCTCCTCCGCTGCCTCATACTTCACCATCCAAATAGTTAAAAATTCACTGCATACAGCGCCTTAACTAGTTTCTAACTGCTCTCTATAAGTCTACATTCATCTTTGGATACATGAATGATTTCTTTTTATTAATGTTGTTATGATATTATTGAACAATTACATTTTAAATGTTTAATTATTGTTTCATTGACATTTCTAGGAAGGACCGCAAGATGGCGCTCGTCCAACTGCCGACAATTGACGACGCGGTGGCAGCGCTCATTAAAATGCACAACTACCAGTTGTCGGAGTCCAACCACCTCAGGGTGTCCTTCTCCAAATCGAGTATCTAAACGGGGATCGATTTCCCGCCCACCCCGGAATATCACACAATGGTTGATAACTGTAATTGAATTTAGTGGACGATTATGAACAGTTTCCCGATATATCTTGTAATCGGTTTCCATCTAGCCCGTCGACGCTGACGCTTCTTTAATACGGAAGTATAGGCCTTTGTTGCGGCTAGTTCTTTCCTAATGTATTATAGATATGCAATTGAATGTAATCCAACTCTGTTTCTCTCATAATCGTCCACGAAACGTAACGAGAGTTGCATCTGATGACGTGTCGCGTCAAAATATCCGTTTCCTGAACCGGTTGTTTTGAAATTTCGCGGCATTAGAGTCACTAGTGATGCGACTGTCGATTATGTATTACCTCTCTCTCACACTAATCGAGAATTCGCTCGACTGAAATTTTTAATATAATCTGTATTACGCTTACTCGGATCAGTCTAGACGTTAAGTGCTCCATTTCCGTAGTGAATACGTCTCACTGTTAACACGTGTAAATTATATTTTAAGGGACATCTCGCATCACAAACACGATCCAGCCAGTTTAAGTTGTTTTCCGTTTCATCATGAATTTTCACAGTACACACGGAGAGGGTTTCTATTTTGTGTGATATTCATTCCTTACATTTTTCTTATACTGTCGAAATATTATTTTTTATACGGAAGGCGTTTGGACGGTATTTCCAATCATTTTATATTTACATAATATATTTTCCCGAAGTAAACATTGAGAACAGTTTGCAATTAGATTGCGCTAGAATAATTTACATTTGGCATTTCTCGTAACTGTCCTAATTGCGATGTGAAACATTGCTTTGGTTGTTTTACGGTTATTGTAATAACGGACTATTTTACCGTCTGAATATTTTATCATATTTATCACTATATAGGCATATTGTTGAAATATATTTACTTTGTCACATTAATTTGCAGTTATTACTATAAGATTATATTTTATAAATATATTTTATTCTCTATTTTAATATGCACAATTTACTATTATTGCATTTTTTTAAGTGAATATGGTTTTTATGCGCATACACATTTTTTCCTTTTTAAACTTTTTTAAATACCGATATGCTATGTTTAGAAATGTGTATGTGTGTGCAATATTAGTTTTAGATTTTTAGTTTAGATTATTTTAGATATATAGTGGTCATTTATTGTCTGTATCGCATACTTCCATGTCTGTTAAGTTATCTAGTATACTCTGTTCATGTTCATAGTGTCGATCATTAAGTCTTCTCGGTTAGTTAGCTTAATCAGTACTTTTACGGCTAAGCGTCTAGTGAAATATATCACTATATATAAATGTTATGTTTAGTGACATAATAGTGACATGATGCATTTATTTTGATGTTAATTTATATTAATGGTAGCTACAACATACTATAAATGCTCGTGCGTACATTTCACTAAGCAATTATGTAATAGAGAAATATTTATTTACATCCGTTTGGGGAAACCCCCAAGTCTGACGGTGTTGCTGGCATCGCGATGACGTATTTTTTTTTAGATTAATAATCGTTATAATTTAACGTATCTTTAACTTAATCGCCTGATATAAAATCCCCTAGGCCTCAGAAAGCGGCCTCTCCACGAGATCTGATCTATCTCTATGTGAACATTTCATAGACAATGCTTGTCATAGACAATTGACAGTAACTTCGTTAAGGAATCAGTATTTTAGTTTTATAGCTGTAGCCCCTTACACTTTGTACATAACTAACATTCGTGCTTCGGTGATTTGAAGTTTCACCCGATCTCCCGGACTCGACCCTTTTAACGAATTGGATCTTCACACATCTTTGCCTTCTTAAATTAATTGTAAAAAGCGTCTAGTCCAATGCAAAAGAGATTAAGTTTTGTGGATTAGGTAAGTGGTGGTTGTTTTTAATTATATTATAAAAATGAAAGGAAAATAACTCATAAATTTACCCATTAATCGATTGAACTCTGGTAAGTGAAGCTTTTCGTAGTGAAATATTAGTTATTTATTGCATCGGTCAAACTAATCAACCCATGCCATTAACTTAGGACCAGTTTCAAATGGTCAGTTACACGTCCAGTTTATGTGATTAGGCAAAGCATGCGTGAAACAGATACCTGAACTATGACATAATAACGATGAACTAACGAGTTCCCAAAATCCTACGACAGAACGCCCAGCCGTCGAACCTATCTAGAGTACTGTCTCTGGGCTGTAACGTCGCAGGGGGTTTAGAAGAATCACATATCTTTAGTGTCACAATTTGTAGCTATAAAATATATTAAGCAGATTTGATCCGTAACATATCGCCATTTAGCCGATCATTTCGCTTGTAGATGTTGTTATGTAACCGCATAACCGCCTCCACGTGATGGTTCAAGGAAGGTTAAAAGATAGGTTCAAATATATCGAGCATACCCTATGAGTTGTCAATCTTGTTCATATTACGTTAATTCCATGAAATTGTAGCATTCAGTGAAAATCACATATTTACACTATTATAGAATGTATCGTATACATCACTTACCGATTTAAGATATAAAAATAGAGCTTAGTAAGATGGTTAAATAAACAAAAAAAAATTAGATTGACATTACAACGTAAGGTTTTATTAGATGAATTCGGTCATACAAACTGTATTATTCAGTACCTATCTACTGTAAGAACGTGTAAGTAGTGACATGGTTTAGATAATGTTAGGTGACCAGGGTGTGGTGATATTTTGCACGTTTTTGAAAATGTTTTTCTATGGGGCACAGCGGAGGCCTGTGCCCGCGTTTTGAAATGGTGAGTGGAGCGTTGCGGGATCGATGATGGTCTGGTTTGCGGTTAAGTAGTCACCGTATTCGTTATTGTAATTAGTTATTGTGTACGCATTACATGAGACGGAAATCACAAATTAAATGAGATTACATATCCAATGAATTGAGCGTAGAACGCTACACACGTGCTTTCCTATCATCAATTCCCGTTTGCCGTACATTCGGCGGACATTCGACGTCGAACGATTTCGACCGCTTCATGCTCAATTTGTAGAGTTCGTCGCGAATGTGTGTAGCGTTTTTGCCTAACTTCTCTCGACAACATCGGTATTGACTTATTAGATAATTCTAGGGATTTATGTGTTTAGAGAAGTATTTTAAATATTTTAGGTAATGTGGTATATGTAATAAAAAATAATAATAATAATAAATAATAATTAAATCAGTGTTTAGGATGAGATGCCAAATTTAAAGTCAATACACATTATTTTAGGTGAAACTTAATTGAAGTAATCTTAACGTTTATTGAAAAGTTGATGAAAATGTTACAGTTAAATTATATTTGAGAGTTTTATTGAGCGCAATATATGCACTTTAATTCATTGTAAGTGATAACATTGTTTCGATTTGTTCGTTAAAGTTATGTGTTGAAAGTGATGTGCAAGTTGTTTTCAAATGACTCATTTGTTCAATCCTTTCCCTTAAAAGTCTGCAGGGACATCATAGGTACCAATTGTTTCGTTCAACTCTCTGGTCTTCGCGCAATAATTGTCCATGCGTCTCGTCAAACATATCTCTGCATATCAGTCACAGATGATATTTTATATAATTTTATTGCGCTTTTTATCTCTGTCTTAGCTGGACTTGTTGTATTATCTACAAAGTAGTTATGGCCAACATATCAGTAACTAGAAATTTGGCTAAAGCGCATGCTTTACAAACTTTACAACTCCACAAAATTCCAACGAAATATCTATTTTATTTCTCCTTTCTTAATTTTGTTTGTTTTTTTTTTAATTAATCTATTTAGTGTATTTCTATTATGTTTCATCTTAATTTACAATGTCGTCTCTATTTTCTTATTTTAGCATTAAGCCTTTTGTGTGGTTAATTTCATTCTTATTTTTAATTTCGTAATTAAACTATTATTATCATTGATAACTTTTGTTTTTCTTTATTTCTCCTTATTTTCCCTTCACAGTTCCTTTACAGATCTGATATTATGTTAAGTTATACATAACACTGAAAGTTCTTCACCCTCAACACATTCATAGCATTCCTATTTATACTTGTCATCCACACTCATGGCTATAGTTTAGCAGGCGGTTCCATCACGCCGAAGAAGTAAACTATTTGTAAATAAAACTTATAAATTTTAAAGGGGATCAATATAAAGAAATGTACTTTATAACGCGATTGGTACGCTAGACATATTCGTACCTACTTAGATCTAAACTATCCTGACAGTTATATTTTTATCTGTATTTAAATTTATTACGTACCTATGAAGTGTTTCGGCAACTCTAAAACTTTAATTTACCCTTATTTCCTCATTTTCCCTGAAATCTGCCTGACTTTAGTGAAAATTTAGGCAAATTACAGGTTATTTAGTTGAATTGTAAACGGGGTAAGGGACTTAAAGTATTGCCAATGATATGTTATAAATATTATCAAGTGGAATATATTTCGCACAGGGTATAATGTGAATAAATTTTATCGCTGTCCCTGGCCACTTGAAAAGCCAGGACGGTTATTTATGTCCGTGCCACGTCCCTTATTCCTGATGAGTTAAAAGAACTGAATCATTCCATATTTGAAACGTTGAATTAGTGAAAAGAAAAATGTATAACTGCCAATTAATAGGAACCCTACCATAGCAAAATGAATTCGCGATATGCGATTTAGTAGTACCACTATCCTAATTGTAAGTCACTACATTTCTAAATTATAATGATGTTTACATGAAAAATATACTTTTACCTATTAAAATGGCAGTTATCCTCGTGTTGAATTAATTTATGGATGTAAATATTATACACTATATAAATAATTACAAATTAAATTATTAGAATGTATAACAGATTAACATAATCATTAATTTAAGTCTTAGCTAAAATATCCTATTCTGATTTCTGTAGTTGCTCTAGTGAATAATTAATACCTGCCTCCATAGTAGGGATCTTAGTGATTATTATATATGCCCACCTTCTGTTCCTTCGAGATTTTAATAAATTTAAAGATTTGTT